CCACCTCCAATCCCTTTAATAGACACACACACACACACACACACACACACACACACACACACACACACACACACACAGTGCATTCAACTGATTGGCCTTTGTTTCTTACATCAGCATATCTGATGCAAAGTGTAATACAAAATGTATGTATAGTAAATAAATAAAACCATTTTGTTTTTTAGACAGCATAAAATGAACTCGAAGCATTTTATTTTTGTAAATTTTTCCATTAATTTAAATGTTTCTATGCTATCATTCTCTAACGTCCTTTGTTTAAATATGCAGCAACATGAACAATGAGGCCTTATGTAACGAAATAACAACCACTAAATTCATTTAAAAAGTCTCATTATATCCAGTGAAGATTAATCCTGACAAATGTTACTTTGTGTTTGGCAGCTGCCACGCCCAGAAGGTCCATTCAGTTTTACTTTTACTTTTAAAAGTATTTTCTCTGTGGAGTGTTTAGGGTTATGTAAGTCACTGCAGCGCGTTAACACACATGTTCCCTGAAGCGTGCAACATGCTGCACAGAGCCATCTTCTTTCTCTCTGCTCTCACCCATTTGACTGGCTGGATGAGCAGATACTCTCTGACATGCAGCTTTGTGAGTGTGTGTTGCGCCCCGTCAGACTGGTTCTCTGTACAAAAGAGCCGGGACACACAGGAGCCCCTTCAATACGACAGGCTGCCACTGTTTGTTCAGGCTGTGAGGGGCTTCACATGCTGTCATTCTGTCTGTCTAGTCTGTCTGTCAGTCGGTCTGTCTGCGGGCTGAGCAGCTGTCGATGAAGGTGAAGGTGAGCGTGGACGGGTGATCAACTTCCTGAGGATCTATAAACTTCAAACTGTGAGAAGACCTTTGTTTTAACTTTAGGACTATGGTTATTTGGAACAACTTTTAAGTATTTTAAACTCACATTGGTTGTATGTTGTAAGTGGCTTTGGATAAAAGTGTCTGACAAGTAACATGTAATGTAATGTAATGTTCATATTTTAAAGACATTTAATCAACCAAATTAAAATAATTTGGTTGTCATTTTAATATTTGACAACACTGGAACATCTACATTTGGAGATATTGAAGTAGAGCTGTATGGTCTTTGTTGTGTTAAATAATTCTATTACAAAAACAAACTTTATTAACAGGAGAGAAACATTGAAATCACTAAACAAAGTCTACTTGTGGGGATATTTGATAACTAAACACAGTAGGGTCAAATATACATTTAGGTTTTCAATAAATCGTAAGGATTCTGCAGGTGATAAGCATTATGGGATAACAGCTGTATCTAAAGGTGTTTTAGCGCAGACGGGATGCTCAGGAATGGAGAGGCTGCTTATTTATTTAAGAAATTCTGATCAGAACAAATACAAAAAAATGAGCATTTTGATGACCTAAGATGAATTGCATGTCAAAAAGATTGAGGGTTCAGCATCACTTTTTTTCCAACAGTATATTCCAAAGCCTTTTCTCTTCGGTTACCTTGTGATTATCTGCAGATAAACTAACCAGCAACATGTCAAGAAAAGAAACAAACTAACTTTAGTTATATAGCACCTTTCCAACAGACTGCTTTCACATTATAAAAACAAAACACATTTAAATGCACCCAGAGAATGGGAATATACACACATAACTCTGTGGTCAAGTTTCCCCCAAGGACGCGAGATGAATCTCATGGGTCCTGATATGATGCATGAAAAGAAAAATCTTATTTCTGCCAGAGAAAAGTACATTTTGACAACCGTATAAGGTCGTTTTACCCGAACAGATCCTTCAAATATTCAGGAGGAATTCACTCTTTTGTTGATGCCCTTACGGCTCGTCGAAATATGCAACTTGTAATGCGAGGATTCATGTAACAGTGGAGTCACAGAATAAGAAGGTTTGGGAATGACTGATGTATAATACTAACTAATCAAGAAAAGTATTTGAATTGAATTTGTAGTGTTCTACATGGTAAACCTGACCCGGTGAAGAGTGACAGTGTCTCCTCTCCTGCAGGTGGTGTGCTGTCTGAGGAGCTCCAGCAGCAGAGATGATCCTCAGACTGGGGCGGCTCACTCCGGGATACTTCAGACTCCTGGAGGTGGGTCACAGCCACAAGCTTTATTCTGTCTCTATATTTAATTGGACTGGACTCCATAGCTGTAAGAATATGTTTCTTGTATTGTTTTAAACCGATATCCCAAATACATAAATCAGGTCAGTGATTAAATGTGTTTGGTGTTAATACACAAAGATTGCCTTCTTACATTTTGTATAGAAATGCTTTATATCAGAGGAGGAGGAGTGAATTAATATTTTACAGAGAGCTGATGCAGCTTGACTCTGGAGGTTACTTTATATAACTTGTTTACACTCAACCTCACAGCTCGTCTTGCACGCAAGAGGCCGCACCAAAGAGATTTTCTTTGACTGAAACGACCCTTTCAGGGTGCCAAAGTACTCTATAGTTTCTATTTTTTATATAAAGCTTCCGGAAAGATTTCAAATATTATGATGTTATATATTTTTGTACTGAAAGTGAAAACAGCAGCACTCTTAACACATTTATAAAATGCAGAACTGAGGACAGTCTGAACCCAACTAGATTAGATTCAAGCTAAATTGTAGTTATTTAACTTACTATTCAGCTGAGTGTCTCATACGTTTACAAAAATATACAGTGTGAGAAAAAGCCAGTTTCAGGCCAGCAGGAGTTATTTAGAAGTAAAAATGTGCAGTAACATAACAAGATGTTCAAGTATGTATATTCATATCAGTGTGTTCAGGTCCTTGTTTTTAGCTGTGTGCTGTGATTCAAATGACTGGTATGTGTTGTTCTTGGCAAACAAAGCTGATTCTCAGTCTACAGCCATTGAAGTGTCTCTGTGTTGCTGTGCCCACATGCTAGAAAGCCCCTGCACTGGACCATATGGAATAACTGAGAGTACACCCTCAGTGAAAACTCACCTAAATGTATATCACTCATGACAAAGTTGTGGGATTTTGACACGGTGGAAGCCTCTGGACTGGACTTCTTTCTAATTTATTAACAACTTTGGAACTGAATACAGCAGGCTCCAGCAATGTGGATGTAATTACTGTATTTCTTCCTGCTCGAGAGTGTTTTTTTTTTACTTATAAAGTCTGCAGTATTACATTTGATTGTTTTAAGCTAGTTCAAAAGCTATTAACAAAGTGGTTTGGAACTTGAAGTTGGTTTAACGGTGAACTAGATCCTAAGTCACCAATGTCATTATGCTTAATCCTCAGAGGAGCATTGCAATCTGTCCAATATCCATCAGGTAGTTGATCATATTTAATGCTGGACCAGTTGCTAAATTCCCACACTAGCACATTGCCCCTAAAAAGAAAAAAAAGATTAAGCCTACACGTTTACAACTTTAGGACAAAGGGCTCAAATCAACATTGTCAAATGTTTCACCAACACAATCATATGACTTCAGAATACTTACACATGGTGACATAATCACATACAATTATACAAATAGTTCCTTTATTGAGAAAAAAAGTTGCATAGTACAACTTGAACTGCTCTCTGATCAGACTAGTGTGTGTTTAACTCTGTGTGTGTGTGTGTGTGTGTGTGTGTGTGTGTGTGTGTGTGTGTGTGTGTGTGTGTGTGTGTGTGTGTGTGTGCAGAGGCAGGTCTCCGGTGAGGTCCGGATGCAGCCACAGAGCAGCTTCATCAATCCCATCGCCATGACGATGGCCACATTGGGGATGGGAGTGTCTCTGTACAGCACCAGGCAGATGGCAGAGGGGAATCTGAAGCATCAGTGAGAGCAGTGTGTGGGACAGGGTGTGGGACAGGGTGTGGGACAGGGTGTGTGTGTGTGTGTGTGTGTGTGTGTGTGTGTGTGTGTGTGTGTGTGTGTGTGTGTGTGTGTGTGTGTGTGTGTGTGTGTGTGTGTGTGTGTGTGTGTGTGTGTGTGTGTGTGTGTGTGACAGAAGGTGTGTGATGGAGCAGGTCGGGGGAGTCATGTGTTTGTGCTGCTGCTGGAAGGAAAACCTGGAAAGTGTCTGGAGGAAAGTGTGTGTCAATGTTCCCAGCAGGAGGATGTGTGATGTCGTCAAACGATTAACACCTCCTTTGCAATATCAACATGTGGAGCCCATAGATTGACAATCTGCATTTTTCCTGCAGGTTGTCTTTGATTTTATTATCGATTGTATTTTAAAGCATACATTAGCATATCATTTGTCAACAGGGGTCTTTAGGAAGTGTATCCAGTAGCCTTTGTTATTTCCTGCATTTTAAAGTGTAACAAAACATGTTTAAGAGAAGTAACCACACAAAATAAAATAAAAACACAAATAAAAAAAGCCACTGAAAGACATTAAATATTTAATATGTAGTTCTTAAATAAATATGTTCAAAGCTTGGACCTCTCTGTGAAAAATTGAGATTTGTATGGATTTGTTTGTGTTTTAGAAACTTTAAAACAGCTCTCCGGCTTCACCCATGTGGAAATGTTTTGTGGGGAACAGAAAGTCTCGGGCGCCTGCACAGTCTGAATGGAGCGACTCATGTGGATAAAGCTCAGGATGGGAAGGGATTTTCCCGCCAGCTGAAATTCTACGTGTTCTCTGACATCAATGGATGAGAATGAGAACTGTTTCTGCTTTTACATTCATTTGTTTACACTTCCACTTCTGTAATGTGATCCTTTATCTGACAAACAGCAGTTTAAAGGGACAGTCCACGCTAAAATCTAATGTTTCTTTTACTCTTACCTGTATTGCCTTTTATCAATCTAAGGGATTTTGCTGTGAGTGGCTGAGTGTTGGAGATATCTGATGTAGATATGTCTGCCTTCTCTCCAATGTAGTTCAACTAAATGGCTCTCTGCTCAAAGCGACCAAAACAGAGATAACAATAAGTGAATATTGGACTTACATTCATCAGGTCGACAAAAACACAAAGCCAAATATATAAATATGTTAATCTGTAACGGCTCAATGTGTAACTAAACAACTGTTTACTTCCAAGTCCATCATATCAACAGAAAAGATGATAATATGTCAGTCTTATGTTTGAAACTGGTTCCTACTGCCCTCACGTGGCCAACAATGATATACGAGAGTCAGAATATGGTTTATTTTCCAAGTACACATACATTGAATATGCTTTGGTTGATTGGCACGTGGGCGAGAAACATTAAAAAGTAAGTAGAAAAAAAAGAGAACTTTTTATATTGAAATGAGTTCAATATGACTGTTTAAATAGCTAAAGGCAGAAATGTCCTGATCATGTCTATCAAAGAAATATTTTCAGAAGTCTATCAATTTAGAACCACTATTCAAGAGGATGTGTATGGCTGTGTTCTTTTGAAATAACTAAGACAATATATCAAAGAACAGTTAAATACATTGGGACAGTTTTGATTTCTAACTCTTAATTTCTAGTAGCAGGATTCTGAACTTCTGTTAGGCCTGTGGGATTTTGATTTATTCTACATCCCTGTCAAAACGACTGGATCCAGAGGTCACCGTGGGAACCAGCCCCTGCTGTTGGTTTGACTAATTCCTCTCCCTTGGGAGCCAAAGAGGAAGAGGATGTCGACAGTCAATCATTTCTTTATCCAGAACTCATCTAAAACTGGAAGCTATTTTTAAATAAGAATGTATTGTACTGGGTAGAGAGAATGTCATTAAAGTGACAACAGAGGGACACTAAAGAAAGAGTATTATTTAAAATATAAGTTAGAGACACATTTCAAGTGAGGATCCTCTAACTGTCTTCTGGATAAACACAATCCAAACATTGAACCTCAGGAAGGTTTTGAGAAAATATTGATGATCAGATTGATACATGGATACTATTTTCATGATTTATTATTTTATTTTCCCTATGAGAAACCTTTACTGCGTAGAATACTGCATAAAATATAGCTGCAAGAATCATTAGAGTGTGAGTGTTTGTTCGTCTTTTCTGTCCCTCTTCATACATTTTCCCTTTACTGAAGATAAATGTTTCATATGTGCTGCTATAAATGAATATTGATCTTGCACTGGTGCTTTATTTTCTTCTGTAAATGCTAATTATTTACACTATGCTGAAACAATAATCAAATAGAAAGAAAGAAAAAGAAATACACAACACCTACCTACTGACATTAGAGTTGCCAGAAAAATGTACGTACACTTGTGAGTCATTAGTACTGACACATACGTGGTCCTTTAAGGCGTAAGTATTATAAAATGATTAATAAATGTCCAATCTCATTTATTGTTTTAATTCCGTAGCGGTAAAATGTATTATAATAACTAAAATATGTTCTCCTGAAATGGGAGAGTGTAGAAATACAAGCTGTATAAAACAGAAATACTCAAGTACAAGTACTTGCTGTGCTCCTCCACTTCAGCAGGGGTCGCCCTCTCTCCGGCTGAGTGTGGGTGTGCTGTGTGTTATTTCAAGAGAAAAATAGTTCGGCGTGGGCTTGGGAGGTTTCTGTGTGATGGGGATGGATATGGACACTTGATAAAGTTCTCAGAGCGTTTGAGGAGAGAATAACAACACGCCAACAAGTGTCCAGGCTTTAAATCCTCTCAGCAGGCGAGTAAGAGTTTTAAAATAACCCCCACTGATGACAGCAGCTTGTATGTCTGCAACATTTAACCCCCGTTTGTTCTTCTAAAACTATGCGTAATTTTGAGATGACAGTGCGTAAAAGTGCGCGTTTCTACGTTGCGCACCTTTCCCTCTCCTCGTCCTATCCTCATCTTCATCTTCATCGGATCTAGAGAACGAGCAGCAGCCGTCAAAGCATCTCAACAACATGGCTGAGCTGCGACCCGCCCGGTGCTGGAGGACGGGCTTCTTCTTCTTCTGCGTCTGGCTGCTCCTCTTCCTCTCCGTAGCCTCCGGGAGTCTTGTTGTTGTGTCGGGGAGCAACGAGACGTCGGGGGGTCCAGTCGGAGACACGCCGGAGGACCCCCACCACCAAACTAACTCCACCACTCACAAGAAGGCTTTCCCCGTCCTCTCCTTCAACTACCAGGACGTCAGGAAGCCCTTCGTGATCTCTCTGTGGATCCTGCTGGCCCTGCTCATGAAGCTCGGTGAGTGGCCACAGGACTGAAGGGGTCCTCATTCAGCATCAATGAGGGGCTGGGGATCAGGAAATGATGGGTGCTTAGCAAAAACTGTCATGTATTTGATATCTGCAGCCTATACAATAGTTTTATCAGGGTCAGATTGAAAGTGTATGTGTTTCTATGACAACATGTAAAGCCATTTTAAAGAGTAAAAGGAGGAAAATTGCAATAAAACATCAGAAATTAATGCACAATAACAAGCATGGGTCAGAGGTGGAAACTAACTAGTACATTTACTCAAGTTCAAGTACTCCACTACATTTATTATGTACCTTTTAGTTACTTTACAGATTTAGATGAATGATGTGAAATATCATCAAGTGTTTAATCAGACGTTAGTTCCACCTGGAGTAAATTCACAAGCTACCCTGCAGTATACAAAGTCATTCAAACTAGCTGCACCTTTACCAGCTTTGAGAACACTTTCATGATTAATAATTATGATCAAAACAAATAATAAATATTATTCTGAAATGGGTGCATAATGAGTACTTTTATATTTTGATGATAATACTCTTGTACTTTTATTTGAGTAACCTTTTAAATGCAGGACTTTTCGTGTAACAGAGTATTCCTACACTCTGGTACTTCTACGTTTACTCAAGTACAAGATCTGAGGGATTAAAGTATACAGGCATCATGACTGAACATGTGATAGAAATAAGCATTTTTTTTCTAGGCACACTGGAAAGGTGTGAACATACTGTGTTGAGGATTTGTTATTGTGATGTTGTTTCAGCTTGGTGAAAGACAGATTTAGTTAAAAAGTAAGAATTGTGTATGGAGTTTGGTGTGAGTATGTTTCTTGGCAGGTACTGGTGTCAGCGGCTAATGTTTTGAAGTCAACTCAGAGAGTCATATTATAAGTTACCAGAAAAAGGTCATTGCTTAAGTTGAATTCTTACTAAATTGCTGACAATGCTTTACATTTTGACTTCCCTTTCCTTTCAAAATATATTTATATCATAAAAAAAATGTTGAGTCTATTGTTTAATCTGCCGTATATGCAGTCCATTAACAACCTATGTTAGTACATCCTCAAAACATTTGGTTCTGTCCAAGCAACACCTTTTGCTGCCTGGATCATAAAACACCCCTATAAACACATAAACACAACCAAAAGAAAACGCATTATATTCCCTTCTACTTTAAATTAGCACATGTAAACAAAGAAATTGTGCACCAAAAAAAGCTGCTTGTACAAGCCTGAGGTTTATCGGATTCTCAGGATTCCTTCAAGTAACTGTTAAACTTCCATGTGTCCTATGTAAACAGCCCATATTTACAATCCATGGTTACAAAATGAAAAAGTATTTTGCCATGTCTTGCTACCGACAGCCAGGATTTTCAAAAATAATAGCTACAACACCAGCAGTTAATAACAAACAAAGATGTTTAAGGCAAGGCAAGTTTATTTAGCACCTTTCAACACAAGGCAATTCAAAGTGCTTTAAAAAGATGAAAGACATTAAGAGCATTAAGAAATAGTGGAGTGGAAACACTTTATAAAATGGCATTTAAAAACCTTCATTAAAAAGGAAAGCGGAGTGTACTGTGGTACTGTGAAATGACAATATAAATGAAATGGCATCGATTACTGTACACTATAATGAAATAAAAAGACTTGAAAAAAGAAAAGAGGAAAGCGGATATAATAAACATGAATAACACGGGCATAAAATACATGAATAAAAGTTACAGTGTAATATAAGGGTTCCCAAAGGAGAGCTGATAGTCTCCACTGAACACTCCG